TCACCTACGGCCATCTGGTAAACTAGTGAAGAGTTGTTAGGTGGAGACAATCTGATAGACTTCAGAATTGTCTTGGCTATCAAGATTCATTTCTGTAGACGGTGATTGTCTAGGAAGTCTTGAATCCACTCATTTCATTTATAACTACTAAGTACGAAGTAAATTTGATAAAGTAAGATAAAATCATAAAAATAATATTATATTGTTAAGATCTCTTCTCTCTTGCTTGATGATGTATAAAGCTTGGAAAGCACTTCGATATTTATATTCTGTATCTGAGTGTTCGTGGACTATATCTGTTTATCATACAACTATGTACCTCTCTGATTATAACTCACAAGGTCAGGTATTCTTAAAAGGTACGAACATCTGGAGACACTGATAATTACCACATCCTCTACAGCAATTACAATATAACTAACTAGAAACTATGCTATTCCCAATAGTAGTTATCCGATCATTAGAGTCTTTAGACTTATAGCCTAATTCTCCAGTCAAGCTGAGTTGGCCCCAATTGTCTCTGCTGTTGATGAAATAATCAGTTTCATCTGCAGATTGTATCTGTGAAGGTAGTCGTGATCGCAACCTTATTAGGTTGCCTGACTTCAAACCTTGATAGCTCCTTACCCAACCGATAGATATCTTCCACTGGACTTCCTACTAATTTGCAGAAAGCTATTCTATGGGATTGACAAATATTCCCTTAGTTGGCAACTCTTAGTTGCTCTGGGTAACAGAGTTTCAATCGCTTGTTGTAGTATTGAAAGTCATTCTTGCAGCTGCAACATATTCTGAAACCTAGTTATAACACTCTGTGAAGTCCATTAACTTATATGGTTGTATCCCTCAGAGTTCTAAACTCTTTTGGCTATTGTAGGATATATACAAATGTATTGGTCTCTCATGGAGATTTTTTACCATTTGATACCATCCCTTGATGCGAAAACGTCCCATTACCTATGATCCATGCCAAAGATATTGCATCTTTGAAGCCTAGTAACTCTCTGAGTAGTTGACAGATATACTCAGTTCTACTTCTCAGACCTATCCGAAGGTCCCCTCTCATATATCCTACAAGCAGAATCCGGTCAGATGGACGGCAGCAGCGTATATAGTATTATTCTGACACCTTCAATTCTATGGCATTATAGTCACAGGACACAACTGAGATTAATATGTATGATGACGTGCGGGCCCAGTAAAGGGGCTAGAGGGGGGTGTTGGAGACTAGGAATTCCAATTCCAAGTGAGGTTACCCTACTTAGGGTGATTCCTAGATATCAGATCCCAGTATTCCTAAAAGGAGTGGTAGCCCTCGCAATTATTGAGCTCTAAAATGATAAGCAGCAAGGCGACCTCCTTCGCCGGATAGACGGCAGGCCCTCCAAGTTGCGAAAGAAGCGCAAGATGATAGGAAATGGTGACTGTACTCAATAATAGCCGAACATTGCACAGGTAATTGGAGCAGGCATCAATAGACCTACAAGCCAGCCAATGCAGAGACTGATCAAGGTCCCAATATGCAAACCTTGTAGAATTTACAGGGCAGCAGTGGTGCAGGACAAACAACAAGAACTGGCATACACTAGGATGCATGACTCAGCCAGGAAAGGCCATTAGGCGGTAATAGCAGACGAACCCAGAGATGGCACCCAATAGACCAGGAGAGTAACGCTGGTCTGATAGTAATCTTCTAATGCACATGACCACAGGGCCAGGGAGGGGGCGTGGGTTTCTGTTATTTGGGGGATTTACTTTGTTCATAACCACATAGCTGGGAGCCAGAAGTGGGTTTTCTTTGTTTGAGGGATTTAATTTATTTATAACCATGGGGCCTGGGGGCAGGCATGTGTTTTCTTTGTCCGGGAAATTTATTTTGTCCATAACCACGGGGCCTAGGGCAGGTGTGGGTTTCCTTTATGACAGATCAGACCTGTTGAGGAAGAGATAAAGGAGGGAGTGGGAGTTTTCTTTGTATGGCCTACAGGGGGGTGTAGTGAAGAATTTCTTTGAGGAGGGCCCAGGGCTGAGAGCAGTATCTCATGCTGTACTCCCATTACTTTAGTTAGTAGGTGAGATAGTGGAAGAATAAAAGGTTTACACACACACACACCACACCCAAGCTCCAACATAACGGCATTGGCATTTCAGGATTCCCCTAAAATCCCCGAAGGCGAGCGAACGCAGCAACTAATATGATGCCAATAGAAATACCCCTAACCAAACATCTCGCAGTAACCAACACTATAACTGCCGTTAAACCAACCAGCCCAGGTTTAAAGAGGTGAACACCACCACACAGCACGCACGATGGTAACACAAGGAAGGGATATTTCTACACTTTCCCAGATAGCTAGTCGAATTATGCGCAGGAGAAAAGCCACTCGTGCACCATACCACGCTGTCCTCGTAACCACAACCGCATGCAATCTCAATCGCAACTGAATCCCATCCAACCTATATATAATACACACACATACATGCATTATACAGTCCAAACCCAGAACCGCATCCGGAGTTTTTGATGCAAGCGAAGTGCATTTATATAATTTAGCGGTTATACCTGACCTATTTCTTCTATTTCTTCTATTTCTTTCTTTCCTTTTTCCTCCTCACCTTCAAGTGGAGAAGGGGGGGGGAAGGTTTGGGGCAAAGGCAAACAAAAGTTATATTTATCTAATCATTTTTCATTTTTTCACTTTTTTCACATTTTTCATAGCATAATAATAGGGCAACAAAGACGCATGAACAAAAAATCATCATCATCATTATTTTTTTGTGAAGAATCACAATCTCTCATTTACTCCTCCTCCTACTGCCACCTGTAGCTCAGCAAGGGTACTGCACGGTACGGTAGTTCATCATGTCACCCCTCCTCCCATGGACGATAGGCCAGGGAAGAAGAACCTGAGCGAGAACAAAACGAGCGAAGGAGGACTCGGGTGAAACAAATGATATATCGATCTTAAAAGTAGAAGAAGAAGAAGAAGAGGTTTTTTTTTTTTACTCCAGGGCCGTAACCGTAGCACAAACAAAATGGCAAGTCAGTTGAGCTTACCGTGGAGTAGCATACGGTAGTTTAGAGTGACCTAGACTGCGGGCCTCGACCGCGACATGGGAGGTTCCTCGCGTCGATCAGTGCCATCCAATTCGGCAGATTATTGTGGACTACTCGAGTACGAGTACAGTAAGAGGTACAGTACCGTGCTGCAATGAGGCTGGCAAGTCAAGTTAATTTTGTGCAGTACGGTACTCGTACGGTAGGCCCGGGTTTGGACCCAATCTTCTGCATCGATCGGATCGCTCCAAGGACTGAGCCGAGGAAGCTCTCTCTCTCTCTCTCTCTCTCTCTCTCTCTCTCTCTCTCTCTCTACTCGTCCGTTCCTTTTCCCTCTTTATTCCTTTCTTTTTTTTTTTTTTGCAAATGGTCTTTGGGAGGTTACGGTAGGTTGGCCGGCTTGGGTTTGCTTAGCTCAGCTCAGTGGCTGGGCCGAGGTCGACCGGGTTTTGTTCGGTGCGGTCGTTGACTCCGGGTTCGCTTAAATTTATGGATTGTTGTTGCCACTCATGGTGTTTGGCCTCTTTCCCCCATTCTTCCTTTGTGTTCTTTGTTCGCGGCACCGGGATGGCTTGGAGGGGTTTCGTTTGTCGCAGGGATGGCAGGTGGTTTGGGACATGGGGGCTTCTTGTGTTCCTTTTCTATCCATCTTTCTTTCTTCCTTGTACTTGCTTGCTTCCTGACTCACACCTACCCTACCATACTTACTTTTTTCTGTCTCGACCTGGATTGGATCGGCTGGGGGCTGAGAGTCACCTTGGAACGCATCGTGGAAAGCGAGTGACGTCTGTGGGATATAAACGTTGGCCAAGCAATGTTGCTGTGTCCTCACTTGCCGGTACCTTAAGGTTAGTGGACGATCCTCCCGTTTGGTTGCGGAAGCTTGCATGATTGGCGGAAGTCCATCCTTAGTTCTTCCGTACAGTACCGGTATGCGGTATTCCGTTGAAAAAAATTGAGTTTTTTTTCCTTCTTTGCTGTTGATTGTTAATTCACTGGATTGCGCTCTGGTCGCCTACCGGTACTCGAGTAGGGAGAGGGCTTTTTCTACGCTCGGGCTGTCGTATCGAATATAGCGGTGGCGGGGAATTACAGTAACAGGTTGGGCGGCTCGGACTTTACGAGTACGGGGTTGCACAACGCCGGAGTGATGAGCTCACTCATCATTCCAGCAAGGGAGAAAGGGAATGCGCATCAGGCTCTGGTCAAGCTTACCGTCGTCCATTTAGACTCATACTGCCCTCGTAAAATAAACCTAAGTTTTCCTTCGGCTTCTCTCTGACTAATTCAGGCATTCTATTGTCTACTCTACTCATACTGTACCAGCCAATGGAATCTATGGAACCCCTGACATATCCGATCCGAGCCATTGTTTACCGATGGTATAAATTTTGGCCGTGATACGGGTACCAAACTTGGACAAGTAGAATACCGGTAGCCTACCTAGCCAGGAGTCATACTGGTACGATACTGACCGCAGGAGAAGAAAAAAAAGAAAAGAAAAAAAACTTTGTGCCTGCCTTACCAGTTACTGTACCATCGACTGATACGACCCTTTCCCCACATCCGCTGTTATTGTCGTGAGTGCTATCATAATATTATCATACCTACAGTGCAGTATTTCTTCCACATCTCTACCGTGCCTCAACACACCTCCGTCCACATCTCCCCCGTGCTTCCCTCTCTCTCCACCTTCTCCCCTGACCCTGAGCACTCCGCCTCTCCCGTGAGATTCGCTGAATCGCTCGCCATTTGTTTCTCCCCTCTACCCATATCTCCTAGCTTGCAGCCACAGCCACGGACGGGGCTCGCTCCTGCTGCAATACCCGTACACCGGTGGGGCTTCTTTTTTCCCCCAAGTCCGGCTTCTCTTCTGGAATCGGGGTATCACATTTTGTCCGGGATTATAGGCTTCCTCTCATTCCCCGTGATTCGTAGGTAAATGCGGGGGAATTTTTGTGGTGACCCAGAAGGTTGGTGGTAGCAAAAATGCAAATCCCTTTTGATTTCTGGAGAGCAAAAACGCGTCCTCCTATCCTTGCCCCAAAATTTGCGCGCCTTTTTCAGCCGTATTCCGCGGTTCTTGATTTTTTCCCAAGCTGACCTCGGCTGTTTTGCAACTTTGAAGGATGGGGCCCCATCTCCCCTCATGGGAGGAGCGACTTCACGCCTTGTTTTCTAGATTCTGTTATCGATGGAGTCAGCTTAGGGATTATCTTCTTCGGGGCTTTCCAAGTGTATTGGCTTTCACGCAAGAAGCCGGTGGGTGCAGTGAAGGATTGGAGTTATACCTTGAAGTTGGTGAGTTGTTTGTGGCTCCTGTAGCACGGCGGTTGGGGGGGGGGGGAGTGTTTTTTCTTGAGGGGGTTTGCTTACGGGATATGACGTTTGTAGGGGTTAGTTGCGGGCATAATTGCGGTTTCGGCATTGCTCGCTTCACTACAGGTTGAATACTCCGATTCATGGTTTTACGATATTCGGTTCTGGTCGCCAATTCTCTCCTGTGTTGGTCTCGGAGTAGCCTTTACCGTTCACTACTTGGAACACGATCGATCTTGGGTTCCCAATGGGGTTCTGCTCTTCTACTGGCTGTTCTTCATCGTCATACATGGCGTCGAGCTTCGGTCTTCCGTGGACTTGCACGATCATAAACACCGACTTCCCCGGCTTATTGCGGTGACATGCGCGGAGGCTGCGGGAATCTTCGTCTTCCTCCTGCAATTGATTGTCCCGAGGAAGAGGGGTCCATACGCACTCGTTGGTGAAGATGAGGTGGAAAACGAGTGCCCTAGCGAGATCGCAAACGTCTTCTCGAGACTTACGTTTGGGTGGATGACGGTGATGATGAAGCGAGGGTATAATAAGTTCTTGACTGAGGAGGATCTCTGGAATCTTCGTAAGATCGACACAACTCGTGCTACGGGAGATCAATTCACCGAGGCATGGGAGAAGGAGCTTCAGAAGGAGAAGCCAAGCATTTGGATTGCGTTGCTTAGGGCCTTTGGTGCTCCTTATGCCCGTGGTTCTCTCTACAAAATTGGGAATGATGTCCTGGCTTTTGTGCAACCGCAGCTTTTGAGGTTGTTGATAGCATTTGTATCGTCTCACAATTCTAATAATCCTCAGCCGGTCGTCCGAGGAGTTGCCATTGCCTTTGCCATGTTTGGCTCGAGTGTTGTTCAAACTCTGTGTTTGCACCAGTACTTCCAGCATGCCTTCGAGACGGGTATGAGAATCAAGAGTAGCTTGACGGCAGCTATATATAAAAAGAGTATGCGGCTGTCAAACGAAGGACGAGCCTCCAAGACCACTGGTGACATTGTAAACCTACAAGCTGTTGACACCCAGCGACTACAGGGTAAATTCTGGGTTAACTCTCGATCATATCATATCACGCAATGTACTAATGGATGTGCACACAGATATCACCCAGTATGGGCAGCAACTTTGGAGTGCGCCTTTCCAAATCGCTCTTTGCATGGTTTCTCTTTATCAACTTTTGGGACCCAGCATGTTTGCCGGAATTGCTGCGATGGTTGTCATGATTCCGGTTAACGGAATCATTGCTCGTGTCATGAAAACGCTACAGAAGGCTCAGATGAAGAATAAGGACTCTCGGACCAGACTGATGACTGAGATTCTGAACAACATGAAGAGTATTAAGCTTTACGGATGGGGCTCTCCTTTCATGGCTAAGTTAGACCATGTCAGGAATGATCTAGAGTTGCATACCCTCAGGAAGATTGGCGTCGCGCAGGCGTTTGCCAGTTTTACTTGGTCCAGCACGCCGTTTTTGGTATCTTGTATGAGTCACCCGATCATCGAAATTGACCGTATTTTCCGGACGCTAACAATCACTCGATTTAGGTTCTACATTTGCTGTCTTTGTCTGGACTCAAGATAAGCCATTGACCACAGATATTGTCTTCCCAGCATTGACCTTGTTCAATTTACTCACTTTCCCTCTTTCGGTTCTCCCTATGGTAATTTCAGCTATTGTTGAGGCTAGTGTTGCTGTTGGACGTATCACTTCATTCTTGATGGCCGAAGAACTTCAACTCGATGCTGTGATCCACGAGCCACCAGTACTTGAAATGGGCGAAGAGGCTCTTAATATCACTAATGCAACATTCGCCTGGAACCGCGCAGAGGCTGGCAAAAGCGCCTTGAAGAATATCAACTTTACGGCCAAGAAGGGTGAACTCAACTGTATCGTGGGACGAGTCGGTGCAGGGAAATCCAGCTTTCTTCAGGCAATTCTCGGAGATCTGTGGAAGGTGTCAGGCAAAGTCGTTGTAAGAGGATCTACTGCTTACGTCGCCCAGTCAGCTTGGGTCATGAATGCCTCCGTTAGAGAGAACATCGTGTTTGGGCACCGCTATGACCCCGAGTTTTACCAGGCCACCGTTAGAGCTTGTGCGCTTCTTGAGGACTTTGATGCCCTGCCCGATGGTGATGAGACAGAAGTTGGTGAGAAGGGAATCTCTTTGTCCGGAGGTCAGAAGGCTCGTTTGACCCTCGCTCGTGCCGTCTATGCCCGTGCCGATGTTTACCTCTTGGATGATCCCCTATCTGCCGTTGACCAGCATGTTGGAAGGCATCTTATTGATAACGTTCTTGGTCCTAAGGGTCTCTTGGCCGGAAAGACCAGAATTTTGGCAACGAACTCGATCCCCGTACTGATGGAAGCCGATTATATTCATCTTATTGTTGCAGGTGAAATAGCCGAGACTGGCACCTACAACACCGTCATGGCCATGAAAGGCGGAATATATAACATCGTTCGCCATCTCAAAGAAGCTCGAGAACAGGATCAGAGCGATAAAGATAGCGACAGGTCTTCGACTGTTGTTGGTACAGGCGCTACTTCTGCGCTAGAAATCTCGAGCGAAGAGGATGAGGTCCCCGATATCGACGGCAGAACCATCGGCCCTGAGATGAGGAAATCCAGGCGTATCTCTTTGAGGAGGGCATCCGCGGCGAGTTTCAAGAAGGACAGGCGCAAGATCGTAGACGTTGAGGAGAGTCGTGTTAAGAGAACAACACAAGGCAAAGAGTTTTCGGAGAAAGGAAAGGTCAAGTGGAGTGTCTATGGAGAATACGCAAAAGCTAGCAACCTCTTTGCTGTAGCGATTTACCTTCTCGCTTTGATCTTCTCGCAGGTTGTTTCTGTTGGAGGAAATGTATGGCTCAAGACATGGTCCGAAGCGAACGGCGAGAACCATGCGAACGACCATGTTGGCAAGTATCTCGGCATTTACTTTGCCTTTGGGGTCGGCGCGGCTGCGCTTGTGGTCTTTCAGACGCTAATTCTTTGGATTTTTTGCGCTATCGAGGTTGGATTTCTCATCTTTGATAGTCATCGCTACATCGCTGACAATATGGGCCGCAGGCTGCTAGGAAGTTGCACAATAAGATGGCAGTTGCTATATTCCGAGCCCCGATGCAGTTTTTTGAAACCACTCCCGCCGGCCGTATCCTGAATCGCTTCTCTAGTGATGTATGCGCCCACTCTTATTTCTTGGTGCCTCATCAGATGCTAATGTGGTATGTGTTATAGATTTACAGGATCGATGAGGTGCTTTGTCGAAGTTTCAACATGTTGTTTAGTAATAGCGCCAGGTCAATTGCTACGATTGCCATTATCTCCATATCCACACCTCCATTTTTGGCTCTTGTTGTTCCCCTGGGGTGTCTCTATCTCTATATTCAGCGCTATTACCTACGAACCTCCCGGGAACTAAAAAGGTTGGATAGTACATCACGGAGTCCTATCTATGCTCACTTCCAAGAGTCGCTCGGCGGTATCTCTACTATTAGGGCTTATCAACAGCAGTCCAGATTCATAGCTGAAAATGAATGGAGGATTGATGCTAACCTGCGCGCCTATTTCCCTTCGATAAATGCGAACAGGTGAGCTTTTTTTCTTCTTCCCCCATCACCGTGTCGAGCGAGATGCTCCATTGTATACAACATTGCTAACTACTGTCTCGGTTCAGATGGCTCGCCGTGCGATTGGAGATTATTGGCTCAGTCGTTATATTGGGGGCCGCTGGATTTCCAATTATTGCTGTCGCTTCCGGTACTAATCTTTCTGCAGGCATGGTTGGCTTATCAATGTCGTACGCGCTGCAGGTAAGTTTCGAACTTCTCCATGTGGTTTTACTCGAGAAGATCACAGCGGCCATAATGTGACTGATCATTTTTTTTTTTTTACCGAAGATAACTCAATCACTCAACTGGATTGTCCGCCAAACTGTCGAGGTTGAGACCAACATCGTCTCGGTAGAGAGGGTGCTCGAATATGCAGCTCTTCCAAGCGAGGCGCCCGAAGTCATCCCAAGCCAGAGACCGAGTACGAGCTGGCCCGCAAATGGGGCTGTCTCCTTTCATAATTACTCGACTCGGTACCGCCCCGGCCTGGATTTAGTTCTCAAAGACATCAACATCGACATTAAACCCCGGGAAAAGATTGGGATTGTGGGTAGGACTGGTGCGGGGAAGAGCTCATTGACCCTTGCGCTATTCCGAATTATTGAACCTGCAAATGGCAATATTAGCGTTGACTCCCTCAACACGTCTGCTATTGGCCTAAGGGACTTGAGACAACGGTTGGCTATTATCCCTCAGGATGCCTCACTGTTCGAAGGGACTGTAAGGGACAACTTGGATCCGAGTCATGTCCATGATGATACCGAGCTTTGGACGGTGCTGGAACTCTCTAACCTCAAGGCCAAGGTTTCCTCAATGGACGGGAAGTTAGACGCGCAGGTACACGAGGGCGGATCTAATCTTTCCGTGGGCGAGCGAGCCTTGGTAAATCTTGCGCGTGCTCTCTTGACTCCATCCAATATCCTAGTGATGGACGAAGCAACTGGCAGTATAGATGCAAGTACCCCCGTAATCGGAGGACTCCCCATGCTCTTACTCGTCTCCCCACATCTCGACATTTCATTTTAGACGCTCTCGACTAACGAGCCGTGATAGGTTGAGACGGACAACATGCTACAACGAACCATAAGTATGGATCCCAGAATTCTCGTAGCTTCGTGGTTCCATTGATGCTGATAAACCTTCCAATTAAATAGGAGATAGATTCCGCGACAGGACCATCCTGACAATCGCTCATCGTTTAAGTGAGTCGTTTAAATTCCCTCCCTCCTACTTCGTCCCGGGCAATAAGCTTTTGTGGGCAGTGCTGACGCTCTTAAAACAGATACCATCATTGACAGGTGATTTTAAACATTCCCCCCCATTATTTATACACGGTCTCCTGGAAGGCTTTGCCCTTATTTCTGTTTTTATAATCCAGCTAACTCGACTCGTGTTTGAGTGACCGAGTCATCGTTCTTCAGGCCGGTCGGGTCGCCGAATTCGATACCCCAGAAGCCCTGCTCAGCGACAAAAATTCCCTGTTCTTTGCCCTTGCCAAAGAGGCCGGGCTAACCCAGGCAGGCTCTTCCAGCGAGCTACCGGTATCCTGAGTCCGTGTGCGCGCGAGGGAATATAGCAGAACAAGAGGGGGCTGATTGATTGATAGCAGTGTGCACGTCTTGAGTGTTTTTTTTTTTTGTTTTTTTTGATATTGTCTTTTTTTCCAAAATTTTCGGAAGAAAAAATGTTTTCAGTTCCACACCCACTGTACCAGAACTGCACGAACGGTGTTTTTTTCCCCCCTTCCTGTTCGAATATTTGAGCTATTGAGTTTTTGTCCTTATTTCCCTTTCATATTGTTTCCATTTGATTTGATTATTCAGCTGTTTTTCTTATGCCTACAAGTACGAGTACTCGTACCGGTATGGGATTCTCAAAACGGTATGTGGGTGGGATGGAGAGGTTGTGTGGCATGTGCCGGTGTGGCATGATTGTCCCAAGGCTTGCTAGCTAGTAAACTTGCCAGCCTTACAAACGGAGTTGCCGGCTAATGAAATGTTATTCCTCACTCTCACCTCCCCTCCCCCATTACTTTTCCTTCCGCCTTTCTACTACCGGTATGTTGTGCCCTAGTGTATTACAGACAGACGAACTAGAATGCAACATAAGTTAGGTACCTTTAGCTATCATATTATCACACTATCACACTATTGGACTACTATGATACAAGTACTACAGGCGGTCTACAATATCAGCAACCCCAATTCCAAAGGCGAAATTCTATATCAGCCTACCCGCCCGCTTCCGTACTTTTACAGACCGCAAACCCTGCGAGAAATAATTTATCTTTTTTTTTTAAAAAAAAAAAAAAAAAAAACAGCTCATATCCCAACAACCCTCCCTATTCGCCCCGCCGCACCCATCCAATGGGGTAGGTTATCCTACCGAGGGAAATAACGTTCATTCGCTATTGCAGTACTAAGTTAGCCCACCCGTATGACTGGACAGGCATTCGGAAGGAACAACGACTTCGCGCTGCGCCTTTTTCCGCCAAGAATTGTTTACGCTTTTAGGTCTTGGCGGTGGCAGTGGTCCCGTAGTGAGCGAGTTAGTGAGTGAGTGACTGAATGGTTACTGGGCACCATTTGCTTTAGATCCTCGCAGCGGGATATTTGCGGTTGTGGGGTGTAACAGATAATTTAGCTGGCTGGGGGTCTGTTTGGTGGGTATGTAGGGTACCGTAGGGCAGGGTACCATATACATCAACCAAGGTTTTCGATAATAGCGGGTACGCAGCATCACAAGCATCATCCGCGTTCCACTCGCCGTGCAGAATTGTGGAGGGAGGGTGGTTTCGGAATCGGGCTGGTATGGTATGGCCTTGTCTAGACCGTTCACTTCCATTTCCTCCCCTTCACTCCATCATACCGTCCTACGTGCCCTCCTTCCACCCATTCGACCGATACCCAAAACTGCCCTACCACGCCCTACTCCGCCCTATCCGTGAGACCCACTATCTTCCCTCATTACTGGAAATGGCCGACAATGATTGCCGGTGGGTATGATACCATACGTGTTTTGTGCCTACGCGTAAGTGAGCGCGTACGTTCGTAGTAGTAGCAAGAAGTTTCGACGTTAGGTATATATGCGAATGCGCGCGCAATAATCCGGGCCGGAATTGAATCCCGGAAGAGGGTGTGTGTTTTGAAGATGGTGATGCTCTCGTTTTGAGTGAGGGAAGGGGCAAATTGTTTCGCTTTTTCCCCTTCCTCCCTTTGATGATTGGGCGTTTATCTGAACGTCTCCCCGGCTCGATCGAACCCTTGCTGAGGGTGCGTATTTGTGTTGGGGCTGTGGATGTGAGTGGTTATCCGGAAGTTGTGTAGTAGCAGGTAGGAAGTTTGATACTGGATACCCACGATGGCGATTCGTGTGCTGTGTGTGAGCTTGGTGGTTTGTCCGGGACTCACGACTGGTGCTGTCGTGGTGAGTGGGTTCTCTGGTGCTAGTTAGAGTTTGGTTTTATTGCTTGCTGGCAAATAATTCTACTCGGTGATGTATGTGATCCCCGTGTTGGGAACTTCCTTTTCGAATCCCTGGTTTTGATATTGAGTCGGATGCACGGCGTGTGGTCCGAAACTCAATTTTCGGGGTAGCTCAAGATAGCGGTATGGGAGGGGGTGAGCTGAACGATTACGCGGTAAGTGGGGGTTTCAAAGGGTTGGAGATATCTGGATGTGTCGTGGCCTCTGTCTTCCTGGAGAAGGGGGGGGCATTGGCTCACCATGTAATCCAGAATATAATTATAGATACTCTGACGATTGACCAGGCTCGAAGATTGAGTTTCGGCCCGGAGGCTTAGTTTATTATACCAAAATCCCAGGAGTACTCCAAGGTCGTGTCATCCAAGGGGGAGCTCCCGATATCAGTCGGTGCATAGATGCAGTGTTTGGGACGTAATTCCCCCGGCAGAAACAGCCCAGCGTTGACCAGCCCAAGAATTGAGTTTCAGTCCGGGTGCTATTCGAGAGAGATATCCCACCACCAAGTAGTCACCACCACTACCCCCAGGCGGTGGGAAAACGCGGAAGGTGAATGGGTGGTGATATGAGTGAGCAATCGAGAACATTATACATACCACCACGCACAATGGTAACCAGCGGTCCGGAACTCAACCCCGCAGGAGGTGGCAGGTGGATAGGAGTGCTAGACGATCATGTTTCGATCTAGGCCCTTGCCGGTGGTCTTCAGGGCCCTTCGCTGTTGACGGTCGTCCAAACACCAGGAGGTTTCGATAGCGGATACGCGTCCATGTAGATTTGGCGGTGGGGAGCATCATCCGAAAAGAAGGAAGGAGTGCTGGCCTCTAGGCACCCCATTGCGCGAGGATTGATCTCGTCTTCCTGCTGAGGGTTTTTGACGTTAGCTATGAGTATGGGTCACTGTGTGCGAGTGCCAGATTACATTACGGAATTGTAGGAAATTTCCCCAACCAGTGACTGCGAGAGAAAGGGAAAAATAGAAGAAAATTACTATGGGTAAATTTCAGTCCAGCTCGGAATCAAGCTCCCCCCATTCATTGATGCCAATTGGGAATGACGGGGGTTCACTAAATTCGTACTTTGACAACTTGAGACCGGGTGGCGGTTGCAAGAGTGAGCGATTCGGGATGTCGTGGGAGATTCCTCATTGGTGGATATCCTAGTTATGGCTGAGGTACTAAGAGTACGTGCTTCACCGATGATTATGATAGTTTGTTTGTAAGGCAGAATGTGCAAATACCGTATTCTACCTTTGTACCCCATATCCGGTGGGGGGTATTACTCAAGTATTCTGCACTAAATATTATTATGCGTTTCAGCTAGATGGGGAGTTGAGGTCTGGATTTCATGGCAGTTTTCGGGAGAGGAGATACAGCATTGTTGTGTTTGTAGCCTAGCATACCGGTGTCTATTCCTGCGAGAGATATATGCAGTGGAAGGGAAGAAGGTAAGCTCGAATACGTACTTGCAGCCGTGTATACGTTCCACCCTCGTTTAGCACCTACGCCTCTCGCTGCCTATAGTATGCAGGAATATCTTATCTCGGCTATCAACACTGCAGCCTTCCAACACTGCAGCGAGCGGTCGGTCACAGAACGCTCATCGGAACCTCCATCCTACAATACTAGTACGGTAGTCGAGTACGAAATATCATCCAAGAGAGAGAGCAGAAAGCCATGATACCTCCATCACTGAACACAACCACCAAATGTGTGTAACCCGAAGAAAAACACCTTTCAGCCCTCAAAAACATGGGACGAAATCATCCCTGGAAGATACCACCGGTACCACCGCCCTTGTGCCCCTTCAACACCCCTATCTGACGAAATATCAAAGACGACACAATCAACCCCATGATCGACCCGAAGTCATCCACCCCACATACATGTACACAACATAACACACAGCCCTGCCGAAACTAAACCACCGGTCAGCATTACCGGTATACAGTCGCACCTCGCTGTCCCGGATGGCCAAAATCCGCATAATCTGTCCGGGACAGCGGGGTGCGACTATAAGTCATGAGGCATAAGACAAAACACACAAAAAAAAAAAAGAAAGGAAAAGAGAGCTCCCCCCAGCCAGGGCCGACCGAAGCGCTGGAATGGGGATTAAATCCTCTTCTGTTGTACTCGAGTAGCAATTACTCGAGTACACATACAAGCGAGTTGCGTAGACATTTCCCCCCCCCCTGCTGCCGCTGTCATAGGTCGCGTGTGGTTTTCCAGGGCCTCTCGCGCCGGTTAGGGATGTGTATACTCGTACCCGTACTGTACCACCTACCTACCTTGCCGTATGTCGTCGTCCATGGCATGTACTCGTACTCGTAGGGTATGACGCCGGTACGTGAGCCCATTTCCGTGATGTCCGAGCATCAGTAGGGAAGGAAAGTAATGTGTAGGCGGAATACGGTACTCGAGTGCCGGTACTTGGGTGACTTGGATTGTACTTGTATCATCGTTCGGAGAACTGTGTGGGGGTGAGTAGGGTAATGTGGAGGGATTTGAGGGGGACCCACTTTCGTACTACGGTACGGCATCATATGGTAATGTACCGCACCTAAAGGTACTCGAGTAGCGTTCGGCGGGTATCATGGAACTCGTCCGAACCATGCCAGGCCAAACCATGCCCATCAGGACGAAATAAAATAAAACAAAAAAGGTTTACTCATCTCCAATCCAACCTACCCCCGGTAATCAACCCATCGCATCCTAGCCAACCAACCACAACCATCCAAAACAGACATCCACACCCAAATCTTCACATACGGTACCAGCAGAGTACAGTACCGGTACATGCGATACCAGTACGGTACGGCAGTGGTGTCGTCAAACCCCACGAGTGACCCCTCATGACGACTTTCCCTCCACCATCCCCACCGCCACTTTATCACCTTTCCCTCCCTTCCTCCCTAGCGTACCCTATTCCCCCCAAGAATTCCCCAAAAAGTCCCTCGTGAACCCAACATAATCCCACACCGGCAGTGACACCAAGGCCAATGCAGTCAGATGCCATGAATCATCCACTCCATTCACCTACTCACACCTTTTTTTTCTTCTTTCCCTTCTTCGGAGCCCGGGACTCCCTTACTCGAGTACGGTACTTTACCTTACCGACCTTACCTTGCCTCCACCACCCACCTTCGTGTCACCCACCATACATACGACGACGACGTAGGAGAGCGGTATTTTACCAATTTCTTGGGTGACTTCTTCCTTTGAGATAGGGAATACCCTTTTTTAAGGCTTGCGCTGAGGGTTTGAGAGTCTCGTAACCATACCATCGGTAATGTTGGTTTTATCGCTCTGGTAGCGGTATGCTGGATTGGGTTGGTTGGAAGCGGAGTTGGTGGTGGTGGGGATGATTTATTACCGTATCTCCCAAGCCGAGAGGACATTAAGAATTTCGTGCCATCCCGTCCGTCCATGTTTAAGACAGAGCTGAATAAGCGGATTCTTGCTAATAACCAAAATTTTGTAGATGAGACTTCAGAACCGCAGCTAATATCAGCTATAGGACTACGGCTACTTGTACGCCGATAATCGCCGAGGAATACTGAGGTACCGGTACGGTAGGGTCTAAAGAACTCATTAGCCATCTGCGGTGTGTCTTGGAGCTAACAGGGGTGCCATTGCATTTCCAATGCCTTGCCGGTCCAGAAGATGATAGGGTATCAAAGTCGGTGGTTGTGGTGGTTATCATTCATCCTGTGGAATAGGGGGCCCATCCATTTCCATCTATCCATCTGTCCATCACTTCACCATTCAAGTGTGGTAGCATAGCGAACCCACCAATAATTCAATTCTCCCAAAAAAAAATTTCATCCCTCTCCCTTCTCCTTCCCCTACTCGTACTTCCCTAACTTTCTCCGCTTTACGCCCTATTTTTCTGTGAGGAAGGGGGAGGGGGGGAGGGTTTTTTGGCCATAATTTTTTTTTTTCGCTTGGCCACTATTGGTGGGTACTGTACGAGCCAATGTACTCGTAGCCCTTTCTCAATGAAAAAATGTGGGGAAAAAAGAAAAGAAAAATATAGAAAAAAAGAAAGGAAAGAGTTAAGTTATGGTGGGTGCTTATGAACATCATGATTGGCCAACCGGTGTATAATGTGGATATTCTGGGGGAGGGAGGGAAGAAGAAACCCCCAACCCTAACCCTTTGACCCTTTGTGTGCGTGTGTGGGGTGTGTGTGGGTGAGGGATGAGGTTCGGGTGGGGGACAAGGACACAGAGAGGGCTTCTTGGGAGGGGGAGAGCGGTGGAGGGGGGGACCCTGACACCACGGTGGCTTACGCTGAGAGCGTACTCGTACGAGTAGTTTGTTATTGTCTGTCTAGTAACCGAGCGAATGAGGCCTACGGCGGGGGATTTGGCGATAGGTTGATGTGCGGCGAAGGTAGGACACGAGTGAATAAATTCCGTCTCCTTTGTTTTTGTTTTTTTTTGTTTTCTGTTTGTTTGGAGGAGCCCGAGTAGTACTGTAGGAGGAGCAAAGGGGAGAGGGAGCGCTCACAGTTGGAGGAGGAGGAGGAGGGAAGTAAACGGGAGGGAAAAAGGATGATGGACAACCATGGACTTTTCGGGACCCGTCTGGAACGAATCGGTTTGTTTCCGTCGGGCCGATTCTCGCTTCGTAAGCTACTACTATACCGGTATACTATACCGGTATACGATACATTATGTCAATTCTCAGAAATCATTTTTTCCCATACCGGTACAGCTACCCTAGTCTTCCGGACCGACCGCACGATACCGCAGCAGAACACAACTCTTCACTCCTTCGCTCGCTTACCGGTACCGGTACTTGTGCAGTCCCGGCAGTGTAGCAGTAGGGTACTATAACGTACCGGCTGAGTACCCTACTGCACCGCTCATACTCGAGTACAGTACCTTTGATACCAGCATTGCACCCCAATGCGACGCCCCAAATTCCACCTTATGATATATATTCCTTTTCCTAAATCTGCTCCTACAGCCTCATCCTTATCAGCAACCCTACCATGCCAAGTTTTGCATCAGCAAAGCAAACCAAAGCAACATGAATTCCCTCCGGCCCTCCCTTCCGTACAATTGCCATCACTGTGCCATTCCCTTTCCTTCCTACCTTCCTACCTTCTATAACTCAGTAAAGTACTCGTAGAGGAGAGTGGGCCTAACTTCTCCCCCCCCTCCCAAATTCAACCAATCCTACAAACAGAGGCATTTTCGCCACCACCCTCAGCTATCAAAAAAATCAAGAACGGGTCGGGTAGGTCTTGGTGCAAAGGAAGGGAAGAAAGGAAAAGGGAAGAAAAAAAAGAAAGGAAAAGTATTTCCCCAACTTATAAATAAACCCTGCGTTGCTACGGGCTCGATCACTAGGCCTACTTGGTTACGGAATTCTATTGAAATCTGGTCCGGGGAATGGGATTTCTTGGCGGTTTGTATAGTACTCATACTGTACGAGTACAGTGCATGCAAGCGAGTAATATGTCTTCACGCATTGCGTGGGCCACGGTAGGTCGTGTGGAGTGGAGGAGGAGGACACACGGTAGGAACTAGTACTCGAGTGGTACCGTGCTCCAGCAGGTATAATGAATGGGAAGGATGATATCGCAAGGCGAGTGGATGAATTGGTTCACCGCGCTCTGTGGGCACGGACTCTCTGCGAGGTGGAGAAGGGATTGGAGGAGGAGGAAGGAATGGAGTGGGATGGAATGGAGGAAGGGAAGGTAACGGAAGGAAATGTTTGAAACAAAAGTGAAGGGAGGGGAGGGAGCGCTTCCGCCCTTGGATGCCTGCCGGTGAATGTACTCGAGTACCCGTACTCACCCTGCGCACCTTCCCCACTGGACTATTCACTCTTCCATTTTCACCGCTCGTTCAAACTGGCCTGGCTTGGGTTAGCTCGGGCGAACAGGATGTACTGTGTGCGAGGAAGATATGGTACAATCTCGTACGATAGAATGCCGGCTGGATGCGAAGGTGATAACATTACTGCATAGCTATCCTATAGCCTACGGTACTTGTACTCGTACATGGTCTACAGGCGTGCACGCGCAGCACGAGTTTACTGGACAGATATACGGGCGGGTAATTCACGAGTGGACTAACTTAAACCAAACTAAAGCTACATACCATACAAGCGCCTCGCTCGATCATTGATAACGAGGGTAGTCTACCGGCATGGTGATAGCGTAATGCCCGGCTTATCACAGCGATACCAGTATTCTCACCGCCCATAACAACAACAATGACAACGGCGACAACACAGCCCGCTCAACCACTCCGACACCGATATCGAAAAAGCTATTTTCCCACCTTCCGCGAAGGGCGCAGCGAATTTAAATGGAAAATATATCGCAAGCTAGCGGAACGGGGTAGATAAAAAACCGATCCCTCTTTATTCCATCTTTTTTTATATTATTTCTCCCAAAACCAGTCGATTCGAGTATCGTACCCAATCAATAAAGCACGCCGAAGATTCCAACAAGTGACAAGTGACCAGTGACAAAAAAAAAAAAAAAAAAAGATATAGTACCTTCGAATTAACTCCTTTGGTTTCCTTGGTCAAGGGGAATCCCATGGATCGAAATTTTCCGATGGTCCAATACCATCCCCAAGCTTCTCCCCTAACAAGAACACTCGCAAACCCGCCACGGAGCCTCAGATACCGGTATGTAATTATCGCCGTTTCGAAGTAGTGAAAGCTCCGAGTGATCGCTTGTGCTTCTGGTCGGATTGGATTGGAGGTGCACTGCCAACCCGCCACTCGGATCTTGCATTTCCACGCTGAGATAGGCGAGCTCGAAGGGATCATCTCGAGATCTTCATAATGCCTTACGGCACTAACCTTGCTCGCGCTGCTATAATTAAAAGGTGGGAGAAAAGAAAAAAAATTCACGATGATCGGTGGGAAAGCAAAGCATCAGGAATGCGATTAATTATAGAAATGATGGCCGAGTTGAGAACCAGCGAAGATGAAAGCTCTTTCGCCGGAAGCCTCTCCTTATTGGAGAGAGAAATGGACTGGCGCGCGTGCACGATGAGATGAGATGTGATACAAGGGGCTACCGCGTCCTTCTCCTTCGGCAGAAGGCGTTTCAAAGTAGAAGAGCTTCTGAAGATTGAATATTTTATTTGACCGGAGTCCTGGAAAGTAGAGAGCTAACGGGGAGGTTTTTTTTTTTTTTTTGAGTTTCTTCAAATTCTTGACATGTTTATTTTTTCCCTTCCCCGACGGGATGAGAATGAGAGATCTCCCGATATCGTACAGCAGAACAGCACACACAGTACCGTAGGCATGTATGAGCCTTCCGCCGGGGCTTGCTCGTTCGTTCGTCCACCCACTCGTCCCACCGCTGAGGTAGAGGTTGCTTGTGAAAAAACTTTGGATCGCGGCCGGTGGAGAGTATGCAGAACACCCTCTCCCCTACCCCGTCTTCCTTGCCGTACTTTGATGTAGATTAGATTTTCGTTGGCCTCTCCCTACAGATGGGATATCATGTGGCTGAGATTTTCTCCTTCCAGAACTACCCCCCCCCGTTCGCCCCTTCCCTACGACATTCCTCCGTTTCGATGATCGATCTGTTACCCGGTCCTCGATTGAAAAAAGCGTGGTACAGTAAGGCAAAAAAAACTGAAAAATAGGAAAGGGGAGGGCGGGTGGAAGCGAAAGCTTGTTTTGATGTCTCCCATCGTGTGAATCTCCGATCAGATTTTCAATTTCTCTCGATCCGTTCCTATTGTTTCGATCCTGTAAACCATTCTTCCACGTTCGATGCTTTCCTTCCATGCCGGGTTACCTGGCGTTCGTTGCCAAGAGCTGTCATTCAGGGACCGACCCATATGAATAGCGAGCATACCCCGAAGAAAATCAGCGATACAGGAAAAAGGAAAATGGGAAACTGTATTTAATACTACCCACCTCGCTGGCTCGCAATGTTCTTCTTCGCTTTTCCTTATTTTTTCTTATTTTTCCTTCTTCACCACCAAACTCCTTTCCCCCCTTCAATGTTTGTGAAATCCCTCCCTCTTCCCTTTTTTTTTCTGCTCTTCGCCCCCCCTGCCTCTCGCCCTACCAATCGCGGCGTTATCAACTCATTATCTCCCTCTGTTACCGCTTTCTGCATCCCGGACTCGGGAGGGAACTGGTTGCGCTCAGCTAAGGAAATTATCTTGTTTGTCGCTTTTAACCGTCATCGGTCGGATTTAAATTTGAACAGCAACTGCGGTAGGTAATCATGCTTTTGGTCACAAAACCCCGCACTTTCTTCAATTCCCACCACCCCTACCGCGCCTCAGCATGTCCAGGGGAAAAAGGAAAGAAAGAGAGAGAGAGGGAAAATAGCAGCAGACGAAAATAGAAAAAGGAAATAAGTAAGAAAAGAGAAGGAGGAGGAAAAAGTAATAAAAAAAAGGGTTGTTTCAAGCCGTATTTTGGCCGCGCCGCGTTGGGCCCTCCTACTGTTGCATCATGTTAATTGTGCTTCACGGCTAACTGTTGTTTCGCGCATCAAGAGAGAGAGAGATGCAGTAGAGAAAGAGGAAGAGTGGAAAGGAGAAGAAGAAGAAGAAGAAAAAGAAAAAAACCCTCTTCAATTCGAACGGCCGCGCTACCCGACTCCAATTCAGTCTTCCCGCAGAGAGGCAAAGGATATTCATCAGAATAGATGTGTCTCGTAATTACTGGCCGGAGGAAGTGCTGAGGTAGATCCTCTGATGCGGATAGTGAACTTTCCAGAAAAATCAGCGTTTCATCCTTCGACGAACGAGGCCAAGGCGGGAGACCACTCTAGGGTACCGGTACAGCACAAATTGGAAGATAAAATGTATATAAAAAAAAATCATTCATTCCTTGTGCGTGTGTGCTATCCTGTGTGATTTATTGTGTCTTCCCCACAATCAGTATTGGCTTCTCCTGCTGATCGTCCTGCTTCACAGAAGGGCTGATGATCCCTGACATTAGGTGGTCAGGAAAGCCTGTTCGGTTATCTATCCACCCCCCCCCCTATCCTTCAATCCAGCTCACCTACGCTTTCGCCTCCTGCCAGTACCGGAAATATTTGTCTTTTCTTTTATGTACACGTCTTAGCATATTGAATGGTAGGTACCAAGTTGTTGTTTTGTGTCACTGCTGATGAATGAAGAGGTATGTTCTACGGGAAGGCTTTCCTATTCTTCCACAATTGGAATGGAAGTGCATTCCCAGAGAGCCGTTGCGTCAGCGAATTCCCCACCCTCCGCTTCCGCCGCCTCCTCCTCCTCATCCTCCTCCTCCTCCTCCTGATCCTCTGGATGACCGTCACGTGGAATCTCAATTCCGTGTTATGCCCACCCCACAGTTTTTCTCGAGACCAACGCACTGAAGAGGATATCAGACACTCTAGTGTTGTGCCATGCTATGCACCCTCTCCGTTTTTCCTTATACATCTGCCCCTCTTCCCATATCTCTCCCCCACACTGCAAGTTGATGTTTCCAAACAGACGCGACGACTCTTGCTACGTCATTAGACAGGAGGGGTGAGATGCTGCCCTGCATGATGGCTCGTTTATACGTCACGATATCCTTCGAAGATGCAGAGACAGCTTTACATTGTCGATATTTTGGGCCTAGATAGTTCGCCTCAGAAAAGTTAAAACCTTAATTCCGATACACGAGTGATCATTTGTGATGTGAGGTAGTCCAAACACCGACGACGTAATCGCGCGTCCGCCATTACCGGCTGTATTAATAGAGGAATTACGCATCTCGCGGATAACAGGCCCAAGCCGTGATAATCACGCGAGAGTAGACAGAATCAAGTACCAAAGTCTCCATGTCAGACAAACACACTCGGGATGACAACGGAGCTAACAACAAACATCTGTCATGTCAATCCCATAACCAATACCGAGTATCAAGTACACTGCTCGAGTACAGTAGTGCGATACCATGCTCATGACGTTCAGAGTGAATAATCACCCATTGTAATCTTCTTTCCCCATCCTACCGGGTTCTATTTTGTTTTTCCCCTTCATACTCGAGCGCTTTTTTTTTTTTTTTTTTTTTTCTTCGTCATTTCATTATCAACTGTTGCAATTTCGTGCACAGACCGAGCACGTCAAGGATGATGAGCACGACACTCGGAAAACTTTGGCGTGGATCCAAAGACGCAACCCTTGGTAATGACCGCTGTTTAGGAAGCCCGACCTGAACCTATGGTTTGGTGGGACAGCTTACCAGTACCGTGCCGGTACAGTATCAATCACCCCCACCAGGTCCGACCTTCGTTTGCTCGAAACTGCTACAGAGAGGCTTGTATTGTAGGCGGTCTAAGCGCCTCCTCCCCTTGCTTAACCACGCTTTGTCAATTCCCTCTTCCTTGCCTTCCCTCTTCCCCGCACTCTCCCGTTCTCTAGTTTCCATGCTCCGTTTAGTTTCCCCTCTCTCCCGTACACTTGCCGTATGCCACCATCATTCAAACGGACAACGGAAGAGACTTCGTGTCTTGCGCTTCATTCAGGTCCTGATGATCCTGTAACATATGGGTTTACATCCTGGTAGCAGATAAGGTTGGTTAAGCGTCAACGGGGTGGTGGTTTTTGAAGGAAGTGGAGGATAATCGCAGAGAAGCCCCAGCTTCCCTTGCGGCGCTGGGGAGATATGATTGGCTCTTCAGGCGGGGGAGCGTCGACATGTGAGACGCGTACTCCTGATTGAGGTAAAGGTCGAGCGAAGCACGCGTTTCTTTTCCCTCATGTCCCACCCAGGCCAACCAGACATCCCTGCCAGTCTTGTGACTGCATCCCTGCTCACTACCCATGCCGGCTCCACCGAAATTAAAGTCCCGCCGGTCATTGGACCGTGAAAGGTTAGCTAACCGCCTCGTTTGTTGCTTTGGGGGATGAAGAGGAAAGGTGGATTGTGGGCAAACGGTGGTCTGCCATTTGCCAGTGGTTGTGGTGGTGGTGGTGGGTGGAAAGGGAGTTCAGTCAGCAGCCTTTGGAAAAGTCTCAGTCAGCCACAGAGGTGTCAATCCTCGGTTTCCCGTTACGCTCGGTGCGGCTTCAGCCGTGCATCTATTGTACCAAGTCCTCTAGCCTCTGAAGTCTGGTGTGGTCGGTCATCTTTGCTTTTTGTTGACCATTTCTGTCGGGGGGGGGTCTGGCTTTTCCCCCCACCAGCACAGAAGCAGGAGCAAGCTTGCCGAGCGAGGAGGCTCTGCATACATGCTCAGGTATCGAAAAAGTAACTGCTGCGCTGCAAATCACGGTAGGCGGAACTAGCCATCAGCCCAGTCTACGAGGGGCGAGAGCTGCCCTCCTCCAGTGCCTGCTGTGCATTGCATTCGACCGAGGGAGGCGCGAAATATGATATGTGCTTTTTGTGCGGCGGCCGCAATACGACGATACGCTCGGACCCCCTTCTCAACATTGTGGACAGTCTTCCCTGCTGGTTGTGCGACGCTGCCGACTCGCCCCCGGCCTTGAAACTCCCACACTCGCTGCAAACCTATCCATCTCACATCAACGCCGTCTTCTATATATCCCCCCACAGGTTCTTCGTTAGCTATCACATATCACTTCTGGCATATCTTTGTTGCGTTGCTGCCCTCACTGTTGCTGCGCTTGCCTGCCTGCTTTCGCTTGCCCCTCCCTCGAAACGCCGGCCTGCTCGGATCGTTCCTCTTGCCTGCTCAACACGCTGGTCTATTGCTGGCTACTTTGCTGGCTTCTCGCTTGTTGCTGTCAGAAAGTGAGCTTCGACAATTTAGACTAAACCTGAGCACAGTGACTTTTTCCCCGTTTTCGCCTTTTCATACCTCACCCCCCCCCCCTCACCACCACCCCACCCCCTTGCCGGCACTGTTGCCTGCTCGCTCATTCTGCCAGCTCCCTCGACCACGCACCAAAATCAAGAGCCAATCTGCTGGCTCTTTCTTCACACCTGCAACCTAGAAGAAAAAGCGCCCGTCGCTTCCCAAGTTTTTTTTTACCTCAGATTTCCCTTATAATAATAATATTTTTTGCTCGCTTTGACTATTTCGCCGTCTCTGCGTTCAGTGTCTGGTTTGGCTGGGGGTTGTCGATCTTGTTTGTACCTGCCCTCCTAGTACGTACCTTACCTAAATCCTCGTGAGCCCTTTCGTCCCCATCTCTGGGGAACATTCGCGCGAAGCGTCGTTGTAAACGATCGAGATCGCTTTGAGATTTCAGTGGCTCACAAGGAACACGTCAGTTATCAGATCTAAAAAAAAAAAAAAAATTCCCTGCCGCCCCTCGTTCCATCAGGACTTCTGCTGTGAATACAATCTGGCAGAAAAAAACGGTTGATGCTCTTTAACGACTGAACAATTAAAGAAGCTTTCGAACATAGGCATCGAATTTGCTTTTTTGTACATCAGTTCTCTGGGTCTTGTGCTGCAGGTCTAATCTTTTTTCGCTGGTTCGTCAATCGAATCGTGTGTGCCCAAACCCCAGGTTCATTGAAATCGGATCAGATCAGATCGACGGGTTCATCACTGCACACGTAGCAGCGTCAGATCCATCAATAAAATTGATTGCATCGAATCCGATCGCATACGTCGTGCAAGAAAACCAGGCCACGATTGTGCGGGAGCAAAAAAGGAAGGGCGGGGGCGGAAAGAAGCCTTTTGGCCCATCGGAACAAAAAAGCTTAACTTAATCCTTTCCCGGAGCTGGCAATTATTCACGGGCCTGTCGTTAGGTTGGCTGCTTAATTAGTGGTGGAAATTTTTTTTTTTTGGAAACGAACTAGCGGTCCTACAACCAACGGCAAATAAAGTCTAGGAATATTGTTAATGAGCCATACTCGGATCCCTTCTAGGGACGATCCCTTTCAATTATCAACTCCTGTGGAGCCCAAGACACCAATGCAATTCCGCGCAAAGTCCCCGTCGGTACGCTTTTTGCTGTTCTTACTGTTATCTTTTCCCTTTTCTCGTTTTTCTGCCTTTATTCCACCCTTTGCAGAATCAATCATAATTCTGTGCTCTCTACCTTATTTTAAATGATCTTTTTTCTCAAAGTTCCTCTCCGTCTTTTGAGTTTCTCCGTGATTATTTGCAAAAAAAAAAAAAAAAGTGTGAATTGCCGCTCATACTTGCCATCCAGGCCCATATACAGATTATAAGGCAACTGCAAAGACAGAGCGAGCTATGCTCGAGCCAGTTCGCCCTCCTCTTGGTTGATGCAAATGGGCACTCTCAATTGACCGGGTCAGAGGCCTTTAAGGAGCATCTGAATCGTTGGCTGCCAGATGATGTTCGCAAGGAAGCGTCTCAAATTTCTGCTGCTGCAGCGATGAAGAAAGGTATCCAACGCCATCACCGTAACGATTATGACAAAGACCACCAATCACCAAACCGCGGTTCGAATGGAGTGGATATCGACGGCGACATGGAGGATGAAGATGATGGAAATGAGGGGGACATCGACGGGGGGCAATGGGCAGACGCCGAGGGTGACGAGGATAACCACGATAGCTCATCCATCCATCAACAGTCGACCCCTCCTGAGGATTCAGACTCTCTTAGTTCTCCAAAAGCTATGCGTGCGAATGGGGGTTCTGGGATGCTGCTACCACCTCCCCCGGCAGACCAACGACGAATCATCCGGGCCAATGGTGCTAATCGCAAACGCCCGGTTCAACCAGAGCTTCAGACAACACCGGCAAAGAAACGAAGATCGACGGTTAAGAGGTCTGTTCGAAGAGCAGATTCGTCATCGGGCGAGTCCAACGATGTCGTTTTACACGAAGAGATAGAGTATAAAGGGCTGGATATTACTAACGAGGGAGAAGTCAATACCTTTTTTGAGACTCGGCTGCGCCAGATGCAGCAACTCGTTTGCAAGGTTGTCGCGAAATGCTGGATAAAGGTTATAGAACCAAAGAAGCAATCGAACTTCCCATACAATCGAGGCGAGGAAAGTAAGCCCTCGTGGTGGCCACCAAATGCACGACATAAAGAGCCTGACCACCTCATGAAACCAGGTAAGACAAGTATCTGCCACTTTATGCCCAGTAATATGCTTACGGTAGTGCAAAGAACGTCTACGATTGCTTTTGACGATGCTGCGTTGTCGCAAAGTCCCGGTTGCGAAGTTGGAAGCTGCAACCGCAGAGGCCACAGCTCATATCCCACCAGAGAAAGCCCCTCTTTTAGAAGAGATATACCGTGTAGCCAAGATGGAAGAGCGTTATCGCTCTGGTGGATTAGGTAACCATTCTTTCTTTAAACCTGGATGCAAGGGGTAATGCTCTTTGCTAACCATTGCTAAAGCTCCTGGGACGTTATGTTTTGTTGCCGCTTCCGAGAAGATTGTCAAGAGTCCAAATCAGAAAGTGCCATCCCCAAAGGTGAACGGAGACTCTTCTTCACCGATCATTGCTTCGTCGGGTGCACTAAGGGATATGGGCCGTAGGATGTCGAGTGCGCAAAGCCCGGGACAGCCACAACTCTCGCCCATTATCGCCAATGGGGAATCAGGTCTGCGAGCTGCCCCGAGGCTGAACACCGACATTGTCACGGGTTCGATTCCTCATATCCAGCCGCAGAATCCCTTCCGTGGGAACAGGGGCCAGTCCAACGTCCAACCCCTGAATACACAAGCAGGGCTAGGCTACAGCACGAACGGATATGTTTCGCAGACATCCCCTGTTCCCGATGAGCAGTATATGGATCAAAACCAGCTGCCTTTAAGCTACACCCATCACTACCTTGTGAACCCGCAACAACAACAGCCTGCGCCGCACCGCAATTCCATTGCTACATCTCATGGATATCCTGGGGCTAACCCACCCCCTGCACACTCTTCCCTTCGGCGGGCTCACACCAGCCCTAACATTTCCCAGCAATCGCAATCCTATGCTGGATGGCCCCCTCAAATGTCTAATACACCGCTTGTAAACGGGATGTATTCACCATACAGCCCAAACACCCAGCCCCAGCACTCACCCCATGGGTCTCATAGCGGGCACCCAAGCCACGGACCTCAAAGTGCAAGCAATCCCCCAACACCCGTGACAGCAACCTCTTATCAGCAATTACCTCACCCCTTGCCTCCGATGCACCAACACCAGCAATCACAACTGGTAACATCGCCTTCCCATGATATTCCAGGTGGGGATGAACGGGGCGAGCAGCAATTTGAAACCCAAGCAATGGCGGGCTCGATTAGGTCTGGTTCTCTCCAGCACCAGCATCACATCGGCCATGTGAGCTATTCCGATTTTTTGGAGAATGAGCATGATTTGGGAGCCGTCCAGGAAAACGCTGTTAGTGTTGAGGACGGGCAACAAGGTGGGAGATCGAAGTGACATTGTTTTTTCTGTAATTGTATTTAGGAGGCTTCGCGTTTTTAAGCTGCGTTTTTTTCTCGCTTTTTTCTCGGTGCCTGATGGATTTTTTCTGAACTTTCAACGATGACATGGTGTTTGGCGCACCAGGAGTTTCTTACTTATCATTACTCGGTGGTTTTATCCTCTTCGTTTATCCTCTCTTCGCTTGGGGGCCTTTTTCATGCACTTGTCCCCGTTCGAACCACAACTTCTCCTCAACTGTCCTAAGTGAGGTAGATAGAGCGAGCCTAGGTGGTTTTAGTCTTGAATTGCCTCCCTATCATATCCCCTTTACTATCTGTTTATATCCACTGTTAGCTTTTGTCCCTTCAGAGTTATCATATTCTCCTAACCTACTGTATTTTTGTCGAGCTTCTATCCTCATTCTCCCCTTCTTTCGGGTGTCTCCATCTTAATGGTGTTGTCTTTGAAATATTTTCCGTTCATCGTCTTGGTATAACAGGTGTTTTTCTTTTTCTTTTTCGTCTCGTATGAGGGTTCAACGTTTGCCTTTGCTCTTGCCCTCCACGTGGTTGGTTATTTGGTGTCCGGAATTCCGGTTGCGAGTATGGAGTTCGTTCATTTGCATTTATTTCCCCTTTGTTTTTGGGTTTTTCTTTGCTCGCTGACAGCTCGTCATACTATTTTCTTGTGTCGGATGATTTATTTTAGTCGTTCCATTTGCTCTCTATAGTTGATTATGGGGTATTAGTGTTATTTTTCTGCTTCCGTTGCAAATAAGTAAAAATGAATGAGGCCATCATACATTACCCTGCCCTGTTTGTGATCATATGACGTCACTCGATTTTCGGGTCGGCATGAGATTGATAGCGGAGGGTGTTCCTGGGAGTTCAGCGTATGGGAATATACTGCTCTCGTCCAGAAGTCAATAGTCAGGCAAGAAGGATGAGAGGAAGAGCCAAGAGGGGCCTCTAGATACTGAAGATCTGGGAACCTGCCGATTCGTGTTGATTTTCCTGGACACGGGGGAAGGGCATCGCTCTGTTTCTCCTGCCGATGAAATGGGCAGTACTGGTGGAAGATAAAGGGTGGAAAGGGGAAGCAATGGAGAGTGTGACAATTCCTCAATGTGTGTTTTCATTTGAGGGGAAGTCAACATTTATATCACCGTGTTGTTGCCCCTTTCCCGCCCACAGATTGCGTGCCCTCGTGCGCAGAATTTCTGTAAATCTTGCAACTAGCGTTGAGGTTAGTTAGGCTTTCGGGGTTGGAGGTATGAATACCGGACATACGTAAGCGTCTTGTAAAGAGGGGGGGAGTCATGCCAGGGCTGACTCAATACCGGTATCCCACATCATGTGAAAGTTTCAGATTGAGGTTCTTTTACTGTCGGATATCCGGAGGTATACGTGATATCTGTTGCTTGAAATATGGGGTAAGTGATTTTCTGTGGTCAACAAGCTAAGGGGCGGAATTCCATAGACATGAGATACTGTATGAGGGTATCTGTATGTAAACAGTGAGGTCTTCGATTTGGGAGGGTGGGGGAAGTAAGGTGAATGAGGTTCTTGAGGGGGTGGTATGATACGACACGTCCCTGCGCTTGCCATGATTAGAAACCAGGGGGTTCGGAGGTATTGGTATTTCCACTGGTTGGGATAATCTTCCGTATGAGGGGAATGCGTGAGTATCAAGTAGCACTTTATATTAGACGTATGATACCGCTTGGCGCAGTAGGTGTTACGACTCGCCGTATGATGGATCCTGAGATCGATAACCGGTGAGTTCCCTGTAATCGGTTCGTTGGGACCTGAAGGCTATTCTTTCTGCGCATCGAAATACCCTCTCGGAAAATTAGGTTCCAGGGAGTGCTCGAGTGCTTTTATACATGATATCTCCTCTGCCCGGCCGGAAGTGGGTAGTAGCGGAAACAGTGCTCTGCTGGGCAGGAGATCATACTTTCGAAACCACCATAGTCATGGATCTGGTGCTAAGGGGGACAGTTAGAATACTGACCTGAACCGTTTCGGATTTGAATGTCCGGAATGATTCTGGAGACTCAAGCTAGCATTTCTCTATTTTTGATCATCAACGGCTAGATCTCTCTACCTTTGTTTAACCTGTGAAACTTATGACCTGGTTTAGTTAGGCATCATACTTACAGCAGTATCATCGAACCTCAAAATGATTGTATTTGAACCGCCAAGTCGCCATCTAAGCTCCAAGGATACACTCATTAGCCTAATCCTCAGCTAATATATTATAATGCCCCCCTAATATTACAGTACTGTGGCACTTGTGTGGGACTGGAGTATGTCGAGTCCTCTAAAAAGGGGGGGGAGGTTCGATGGCCAGGAGGAATAAATTAGAGTGGGCCATGTTACACTTAGCTTGCCCAGCATGTGTACGGCCACTATGTTTCCCAATTTGTAGATTCCTCTCCTATATAAACACATTACCATGAAGAATTCCATTGCGCCCGGATCAAGCATCATTTATTTTGCTTGAATCTTGCTCCTCCAACATTGCTCTCTTCTCACCCTGACACCACGGGTGTCAATGCAAACGTGTTGCTAAATTATATAAACTCCAGAAACTATCTGAGCAGCCCCCCCATCTTTGGAATCCCAGAGTTAACAGACTTGAAGGCTTTCTCAGGCAACTGATACCTATTAGTATATTTTGGGAGGCCATGAGATGTGTATGTTTATCCTGGCTTTAGGTCCACCCGGAATGGTAGTAATGGCTCAACCGAGTCAGTGCCCAATCACTCGAACAGACTAAAAGAAAGTTAGTGCCCCTTTTACAAACCTAACATAATTCGGCACGGCCGCAAAATTGAGAAGGCTGGAATTTCGGATATGGCAAGAGGGTTTCGTGGCCGGATATATTGTAGTGGCAGACCTCCTCCGTTCCGAACCACATTCCATTAAACCTGAAACCAGATGCAGAAGTGATATCACGGGCACATAAAGTAAGCAGGATTCAAATCTCGACAATGTATTAGTCTACCCGTGGAGCCCGACTTGCACCGACTTGCAGATCGGACGCAAGGTGCTGAACGAGATTCACTCAAGTCGTGAATATTGTGCCGTGGTATTTATCGATTATGTATCAACGACACTGTACAGTACTCGAGTACGGGTGCTGCATATGATAGACTGCCTTCCGCCGCCTATTTGCGATCCGCAACCCTGTCCCGCCCACGTCCAAATCTTCCCTTTCTCACCGCTGACGCCCCAGCTGTGACTTTCCCACACGAAGGTTGTTTTTTTGTGGTCAGATATCAGTGATCAGTGCTTATGATCCCGCTCGTGATAGACCAACAACGCTCGTCTTCATTGAGACCGGGAAGAAGAAAAAGGGGATATTTAGAGTCGATGAGTAGAGAGATATCTGGAAATTATATTCTAGGAATTTCTCGATTTTCCATCCACTTACTCGCGCTGCCGAGTTGAAGCTGGACACCTGAGGTGGCAATTCCCATAAGCTCGAGTACCGGGTTTTCAGCCACCCCGGGTTTTCGGTCATCGTGGCAACCAAGCTTAAGCACTAAACACCTCCCTTGCCCACCCCCCAACCACGTGCACACAACCCAAACATGAACATTCGTGAAAACTCAATTACCCTTGCCCTCAATGCTGTTAATAATGGCACCTCTGAGCGAAAAGCAGCTAAAGAGTATGGGATTTCATGTTCCATTCTGCAAGGTCATTGTGCAGGAGGGTCTAGTGCACAAGTTGGCCATTATTATCAACAACGATTATTTCCAGATCAAGAGCAACTATTATGTGACTGAATTATTGAAAAAAGAGGCATATTGTTAGGAGTACTGGGATCTGATACCTAGGAACCACCCTAAGTAGGGTAACCCCACTCGGAATTAGAATCTCTGGTTTCCAACACCACCCTCTGGCCTCCTTACAGGGCATGCACGTCATCATACATATCTATCTTAGTTGTGTCCTGTGACTATAATGCCACAGAATTGAAGGTGTCAGAATAACACTATATACATTGCTACCGTCTGTCCAACTGAATCCTGTTCACAAGATATAAGGGAAGGGGCCTTTGGCTAGATCAGGGAAGTAGAATGGAGTAAATCTGTCAACTACCCAGAAAGCTACTAGGCTTCAAAGATGGAACATCTTTGGTATAGGCTGTAAGTAACAGGACATTTTTGTACAAAGATATGATATTGAATGTTAGAGGATCTCTACGAAGACTCAACATATTCTCATCCACCCTATGATAGCTAAAAGAGTTTAGAACTCTGAAGGACACTACCAAAGAAGCCAGTGGACTTCGCGGAGTATTACAACTAGGTTCAGGAATGTGTTGTGATTGTCGGAATTTTCTCCAATACTAGATAACAACTAAAGCCCTGTTACCTAGAACAATCAGGAGTTGCTGATCAAGGGAATATCTACTAATCTGGTAGAATGGCTTTCTGCAAATTAGTAGGAAGTCATCCTAAAGATATCTATCAATTGGATCAGGAGTTATGGAGGTTTAAAGTTGGTGACCTAGAAAGATTAAATCTACAACTACTCCTGCAGACACGACTCATAGATGAAACTGCTCATTTTATTGATAGGGGAGACAATTGAGGCCAATACAGTTTGACTTGAGAACTATACCATAAGTGTAGTAAACTCTAAAGATCAGATAATTAATATTGGAAACAGAACAGTTTCCAATTAGCAAAATAGTAATTACCGAAGAGGGTGAGATAGTTTTCAGGGTCTCCAGGTGTTCACACTTTAGAAAGATACCTGACGTTACGAGTATAATAAAATAGGTACAAAATTTGTATGAGAGATAGATATAGTTCACAAATACTCAGATATGGAATATAAATCTCGAAGTGTCTCTCAAGCTTTTGGACATTATCAAGTAATGGAAAAGAGACCTTAATAATATAATATTATTCATACGATTCTATTTTACCTCACTTTGCTCTTAGTAGTCATAAATAGAACAAGTAACCTGTTAAGTCTTTCTAGACAAATCTCTGTCCATAAAGTGAATCCCAATTGGCCTAGACAATTCCAAGTCTATACAGATTGTCTCTACCTAATACATGTAAATATGCTCCTACACATTCTTGAACTCAGGAAATGGCAGCATTGATTTTGTCATTTTTTGGTGACTCTCAACATCTTGTAGCAACAAAAAAACATACTGCATCAGATGCATTAGGTATACACCTTGATGTAAATGTTCAGTTATCCACGTCCCATGCATCCTGCATGTCCTGAGTGTCCGGTTGCATCCTGCGTGTCCGGTTGTATCCTTAGTATCCAGTTATGTCCTGGGTGTCCTGAGTGTCCAGTTGCGTCCAACTTATCTAGTATTTATCATAAGCAATAATATGCTAATTTTCATCCGCCAATCTGGCTTGGTCAACTTTGATCCTTACTGATATCTTGATACAAGATGGTAGAGAGTTTTGATCATAACACTACAAGTAAGCCACATACCAGCTACTGGTATATCTACTAGATACTAGCCTGAGGACTAAATCTAAAAATATCTACAGAAATAGGAGATGTGTAGTACTAAATTCTATTTTAGTCTCTTGAAGAATTTGGAAGCAAAAATGGCCAACTGGTAGAATGTAAAAGTGAGTAATAGTTGTGATTGTTAGGGTGAGTAGGGACTTGGGTGTTTGTTAGGTTTTCCTAAGACTGCAATGTGTTTAATATTGGGACAATCACATAACATCATGGTTAGAACATCAACAATAAGTGTCATGAATGTGGCTTGGCAAGGAAAAGGTTTTCGCAGGACTGATAAATA